CAGCCCAGGGGAGGTGGAGGAAAGCAGAACGAGTGACAATGGAAACACAGGGAGGAAGTCCCCTAGAGCTGTTACCTTGTAGGGAGTGTAATCAACCTCAGGAAACAATGTGCATGAACTGGTGGATGGACAACTGACTGCTCCGTAGACCTTCCCCCAAAGTGCACCCGAAGTTAAACGTACAGGATGAAGTCTCCTGCGATGGCGTCACGTAGCCAGATGTCAACCCTAGGAAACCACGAGGATCAGCTTAGCACGCTGCTGATCGGTTCAGTGGAAGGAGACAGACCACCGGAAAAAGAAACTGGATCTAAAAGGGTTTACTGTGTGAGAAAGAGAATGTTTCAAATCAGTGAGAGAAGACCCTTCCCTAGAAAAAGGACGAAATCTGATCTTTACTTCACACGGCACACCAAAATAAATTTCAGATGGATTAAAGGACTACGTGTAAAAATGAAACTGTGAGAGGATTAGAAGAACATGCGCAGGTGAGAATTGATTCGGTTTCAAGAAAGGAAAGGTGTTCTAAGTATAGCTGCAAAAGAAGAAATTACAAAGATAAAAGATTAAGGGATTTGGTTACATGAAACTCTTAAAACCTTGGTGTCAGAAATGATTATAAGCCAAATAAAAACATGACTGATAAACTGCCCTAGAATGATGAGTAGACACTGTTTCATAGCATATAAAAAAGTATAAGTAAAGGGCTAATATCAGAAAACGAGCAGAGTGCGAATGAGTCATTCACAAGACAGACAAATCACCAAAAGTCATGTCAACAACAGCAGCGTTCACACCCAAAGTAATCAATGAAATGCAAATCAAAACCATAGGAGAAAAGATGTTGAAGACTTGTGCCCAGCCAAAATAAGAGGCATGGGAAAAAAACAGACTTGTGTTCTGATGAGGGGAGGGGACAGTAGAAGGCAATTTGGAAACAGGAGTCCAGAATTTTTAGCTTGGCCATCACCCTGCTAGAACTTTCCCTAAATAAAGAATCAGGTGGCAAGAATGTTCATTTCAGTCTTGTGTGTAACAGTGAACATTTAGAAGCAATGTGCATGCCAAAAGAACAGAAAAGGCATCAAATCAACAAACCATAGCATCTGCTTAGGGAAGTAAATCACATTAAATCTGATATTACAGAAGCAACGTGACCAGGCATTGTAAGCGAGAACCCAGGTCACCAGAGAACAGAGTTCCCTTATGAACACTGGGAAAGACTGACGTGACAGGACGGACAGATGCCACAATGCTGGCGGTGGACGGTGGTGTCTGCTAGGTGGTGTCATTGGGGTGAGGAGTGTGACTGTTGACTTTCAGTTTTTTGTTGGTGTGTTTACAGACTTTAATATCAAGCTTACATTAGTTGAATTATTTGGACAAAAAGGTATATATGAAAGGGCCTTTCAAAAGTTCATGGGAAAATGGAATGAAAAGATCACGGAATATTTTTCATGAATATTTTGAAGCCCCTTCGTATTTTTGAAAAG